TTTCGGTAAACAGTCCACCACCTCCAGAGTATTTCCCTGGAGTAAAAAGTCTCTCTCACCAGGAGGACTTCCCTTCAATGGACAGTCCACCGCTCCCAGAGTTCTTCTCACCAAGGGATAGTCCCCCACCACCAGAAGATGTTCTCCCTGTAAACAGTCCACCTCCCCAAGAGACCTTCCCTGCAGTAAACAGTCCACCACCCCCAGAGTATTTTTCACCCCCACAAGCACCTAAAATACCATCAGCAGCAGAGACTGAGTTTGGAAGTGGGATACCCTGTGAGGATCATGCAAATTCTTCTGTCAGGTACATAAATAATGCAGTAATCATCCAATATGGCAACCATTATTGAAGAAAGGCCTTGAACTATTTCTTTGTCTTTCCTTTTAATTTTTATGGTCATCTACACCCAGTATTTAGAAACAGACTTGAAATTGTGCGATGGTTATACTGGGTGATAGCAAAGGGTGTCATTTCGAATTTAAAGGTCACTGCTACAAATGAAGACGGTTTTGATTAGAGGAAGGGTATACAAACCTTGGCAAATTCTTCCATTGTGATGAAAAGGTAGAAACTTATCAGTCAAGAGCTTTTGAGAAATCTGCATGCTGTCACTCACTTTGGATAGGCTGCAGCCCAAGCTGTTTTGAATATAAAGGACTGCATGCCACCATGGTTGATTGACAAATGATTTAGAGCTACCTGTAGTACCTCTCCTTTTATAGTGCCCCTTGGTGTTTAAACATCTCCATATTTCAATAATCATACAACACTTGTATTTGACTGGAAAGACTGGACACTTCCAGTTGAAATTCTCCACCCCAGCCAGGCGAGATTCAAATTCCCCACCCCTGGGTGTGGATGATGGTCAAATATTCATAGGTTGCCCAGCGTGGGAGGGAGGGGAAGTTGAAGCTTTGAATTGACTGGGACATAATAATACAATCATTGTCAAACATAAACTTTTTAGTAATGGAAATATTGCTCAAGTCTTCATGAGGTCCTGACTTACTTTGCCCAATGCTCAAGAGTTTTGTCCTCTCCCCCAAGGTGGTCTGCAGGTGTACTTCCCTGAAAATTTTTTAAATTCTTCAGCTACAGACTGGGATGCATTTCCCTGCTCTTTGGATCAGAAACTAAACATACATCAATTTCCAAACAGTTATTGCCCTATTGCATAGTAAATTTGGCTTACCCTGAAAAAGATCTCTTGTTCCTGGGTTTGATTCTCAATTGAAAGCTTAAGTCCCATGATCAGATCATTTTGATTTGCATTCACTAAGTCTTATCTTTGTTTGCTGTTTTATTCTATTTTTTTTTTTCAGATAGCATATTAAGTAAATCACTTACAGATGTAGCAGTCAATTGATTGAAGACTGCATGAACTGTTCTTTATATCCAGGACAAAATTTTTTTTATCAACTAAATCTCTTGGTAATTTTTCTTCTCTTTTAGAAGCAATGAAATTTCTCATACACTACAACAACCAGTTTCTCAACAAGTAAGTTATTACAGACACTTTTTTACTCACAACTGCACTTTAACAAGTTTATTGCTAGTTTGTAAGATTATATTATTTTGTAGTTCTTATTTTCTCTTCCTTTTTCACTGCAAAATGAACCTATACTCAAACTTCTGTTAAGTAGATTTAGAGGATTATGTAGTTAATCAACAACTGTAATTTGGTAACATCAACTAAGTTTAAATTGTAAATTAGCCACCGTAAAGAGTTAAAAGGTGACGTTTTGAGCAATAGCCCTTTGTCAGAGTGAATGGAGAAATTGTGGGTTGTGTGTGGGTTTATACGCAGAAAGTAAGGGGTATGTGCAATAAAGGTTCTGAGGTATTTTCATACTACAACCCTTCATCACAGAAGTTGGGAAGCAATGAAGGATTTGTTCGTGCTATTGCAAATGCTAACATGATTTACGAATTAAATAATATTGTAATATATTCATATGTCATCATACCCATGATGCATTGTGAAGAAAAGAGAGAGAACACACCATGCGGTTGTTGTGGTTTTCTTAGTGTGATTATCCTAAAATACAACATTTCTGGTGACGAGGATGGCTGCTAGTGCACCTTTTGGTAAAGTCGGGAAGTTTAGTCCCGAGAAAGAGACGTTCAGCACCTATGTTGAAAGAGTTGAGATGTTTTTCACTGCAAATGGTATCGTCGAAGGAGCGGGCGAATGTCAAGAGGCAGCCAACGAACTGGTCAAAGAAGACAAATGGCAATTTTTCTCACAGAAGT